CTGAGACCAGAACCTTTATTACCCATTATATTTGCATATATGTACAAAATAACTTATTAATAAAATCATCTTGTAATAAAATAATCAGTATTTGTGTCTGTTTTCTTCTTCCTAGGCAAGGAAAAGAATGCCAGTACAGTCATATCTCAGTATTCGTCAGCTTCAGAACTTGTCAAACCCCATACTCAAATGTTTCAGCACTCAGCACTTGCTAGGGACTCATCACACTTGCTACAACTTGAATGAGTGACAATGCTTCCCTGCAAGCAAAATAAAATGCTTCGTTGCTTGTTGCTTTGGCACCCACCTCTCGTGATGAAACAGAGGTCAGAGGTAGACCCGTAAGTCTCACAGGTAGCTTGGGAACAGGGCAGAACTCTGATGTATTTGTCATTAGTGTCTTATAATTTTGTGCATTTTAAGTGCTAATTGTGGGTCTCAAAAAGGTTAAGAGTGATACCACTAGGCCTAAAAGGCATTTAATAAAAACCACCATCAAAAAGAAAACAGAGATTGTAGCTAACTATGAGAGTGGTATAGGTGTGACTGATGTCACTCTTATGTTCAAGATACCAGGAACAATGATCTTGAAGATAGTGAGAAATAAGGAACAATTCAGAACAGCCAAGTGTTGCTACAGGCATAAAGTCTGTGAGTAAGCAATGTTCACAGACACTGGAAGAAGTTGAAAAATTGCTTTACATGTGGATCAATGAAAAACAGCAGATGACAGCATTTCTGAGGCAATAATTTGTGAGAAATCTAGGCAACTGCATGCTGATCAGTCAAAAGACAAGCCTGGAACAAGTGGTGAGGGCACTGAAGTGTTTAAAGCCAGTCATGGATGGTTCGATAAATTTAAAAAGAGAACTGGCATTCATAGTGTGGAAAGGCATGGAGATGCCTTGGAGAGGTAAGGCATGGAGAGGCAGCCAGTGACAACAAAGGAGATGCCAAAAGCTATGTCACCAACATCAGGGAACATGTAGAGACTGAGGATTTTGTCCCCCAACAAGTGTTTAACAGCGGCAAAACTGGTTTGCTCTGGAAGGAAATGCCTAACAGAACCTACATCACTCAAGAGGAGAAGGCATTGCCAGGCACAAGCTGATGAAGGACAGGCTAACTCTGTTGTTCTGTGGGACTGCTAGTGGGGATTTAAAACTTAAGCTTCCACTAGTGTATCACAGTGAAAACTTGTGAGTTTTCAAGAGAGGGAATGTGATCAAAAGCAAGTTAAGTGTGATGCAGAGGGCCAGTACTAAAGCTTAGGTGACAAAGAAGTTCTTTACAGAGTGGATGAACAAAATTTTTGGCCCCAGTGTGAAAAACTATCTTCAGAAAAACAAATTGCCTCTGAGGGCTATGTTAATTATGGGCAATGCTCCTGCTTACCCTCCATGCTTGAAGGACAACTTACTGGAAGAACTGAGTTTCATAAATTGAGTTTCAAAATTAAGGCCAGAGTGATAAAGATGAGAACACACACACACACACACACTTAATATCATGTTAAAGACTTTCCTGAAAGCTAATGGCAAGAGTGGTTATGGTATTTTGTGACACAAGTTTCACTCAAGAAAAACTGAGTGAGGTACAGATCTTCCTGAGAATGTCACCATTCTGAGCATGCAATTTTTAGTGAGAAAATGATATTTAATTTATTTATATATTTACTGGGTAGCTTAAAGTACAAGACAGAATGGAAGCAGCCCTAAGATGAAAGGCACAGACTGGGACAGAGTCCATGAAGCTGTTGAGAGCACCAAACCCAGGTGAGTCGGCCTCAAACCTTGCTCCCAGGTCCAGTCTCCCCTACCTGCATGCTCAGGTATCTCATGGTTTCCAACAGTCCCAATCAATGACCTGCTGGCATCAGTCTTCTTATTCCTACCCACCAATCTCTTCTCAAATGTGTCAGGCTCCTGCTCAATCTTAATCTTTACCTTACTGAACTAAGGGAAAGTAGGCTCTCCTCTAAGAACACTGCTTCCCTGCAACCTTCTCAAAAGGAGGTTGGTTTTTCTTCCACAGCATTTCCACTACTGGGTCTGGGGTGGGATTGATGTCCTTCATGTTTCTCATTGCAGCTTTCATGCATTCTCCCTACCTCCTTCCTAAAAGTCTATGGCTTTAAGTCCAAGATTATCAAGTTCACCCTCTACCCCTTCATTGTTTCTGTCCTCTGTAGGCCATCCCCTTCACTTCTCAACATTTTAGCCTGGCTCACTGTCACTCTCTAATGCTGCTCCTTTCTTACTTTGTAGTGACTTGAATATACAGCATCCAGCAAAAGTAATGCCTGCTTGAGTGTGGTTGGTAGGGTAATAATATGGGTGTAATAATTTATAGTTTTGATTTGGACATTTCACCTAAAATGTCATATGGAGTGCTTGAATGGGATATTGTTAAGTTACAGAAATATATGCTTATGATTTTGTAATAAAAATGTTATAATAAAAAGGGGTATTGTTTGTGCCAGACAATGTATATGTAAATAATCCTTCCAGAACTTTAACCTCTTAGTCAATTAAATTTCTTGTCAATAATTATAATCTTCCCACACTACCTCAGTGACTCTTTCCTGTTGTCAGTCCATAGACACAGCAACGTCTCCATGATTTCAGTTTTACGCATCTGTCACAATCTTGCCAGCTCACTTTCTAGTCTCCCAAATCCAATAATCCTTTGATCCCACTGGGACTTCCAAGTCATTAATCCTACCAAGCTTCCACTCTCCCTTACCCTTACTTTTGTCCTTACTCTTCTTACCCAGTTTAAATTACATAGTTAATCCTGATAATTACTCTATGTTATATCTTTGACTTTCTTGCCCTTCTCTCACTGTTTTAGATTTGATTGGTGAAACTTATATCTCTGGCTATATTAATTCTCTACCTATTCTAAATCTGAACCCATGAAGCTGAACATGACTGGAGAAAAATGTAATTCCGCACATGACTGCTTTCGCTCTAAAGTTCAAGACCATGAACCTCAAATGGGACCCTGATATTGCAAGGCACACATACCATAGGTCCCGATCTCCTTTTTCTCACCCCACACATTCAGTGTCAGAAAACCCTTTGGCTTCTACCTTCAAAATATATTCAGAATAAAGTCATTTCTCACCACTCTACTATCATCTTAACCAAGCTTCCATTCTCCTTCACCTCCTAACAGGTCTTTATTATATTCTTTCCTCTCTGACTTCTATTTTCGAACAATTAAAGTGACCTTTAAATCTTAAGTCAAATCTTTCTCTCTCATCTCTTTCAAGTCTTTGCTTTAACCTTACTTTTTCAATGAGCAGTATCCAGACCAGTCTATTTAATATTATAACCCCCTTTCCTGACACATCACCCCTCTCCCTTACCCCTTTCTGCTTTTCCTTAACATCTTCTAATATACTATATAATTTATTTAACTGCTATGTTTATTATTTATTGTCTCTCTGCCCTTATTGGCAACAGAGGGTTCACAGGAGCAGTAATTCTATTTTGTTCATTGACATATTCCAAGTGCCTTGCACAGTACCTTATACATAGTAAGTACTTAATAAATACTTTTGAATGAATTAGTACACTAATTCTATTAGTTCTTATATTAATGAATAATAATAAATACTTGAGCAATTGCTTCATAACAGTGCTTAATTAAATATTAATTGACATTGCCTTTGGAGAGCTTACAAACTTTATAAGTCTAATAAAAACCCTGAAAGTTAGGTCTTACTATCAACCATTTGCAGGTAAGGAAACAAAGAATCTAAAAGGGTACTATGCACTGAGGCAAGATCTCTCTATCTCCAAAAACCCATCCTCTTTCTGTTACAATACGCTGCTCCTGCTTTCAGTTTGTTTCATACCCTTTTGAGAAATGCAGGATATGATGTGACTGAAGTCATAATGATGTATTCATTTTCATTTTTGTTTGACTTCTTTTCCACCACAAAACTGCAACCCAATCTGCTAAATATGTCTCCATATGTCAGAAGAAAGAGGTACTAGTCCATAATTTTATAGCACTCAAGTCAGAGGGAAATATTTAAAGAACTCAATATTCAGTTTGAAAGAATAACATCCAGCATAGACTCTTAAATATCAGCAAAGTTGAAAAGTAGCACATATTTATTGGGAGAAAAGCTGATAGGTTCTATGAGAGGAAAAAGAAATTAGAGCCAAATATTAAAGTTAGAAAATGCATGGTTGGGAAAGGAAATTAATAAATAGAGCTGAATTTGAGATGGTTTTTAATGTGTCTGAAAACCTTGGCTTGTAATAGGATAATTTAATCAAATCACATATTTTTTGTTGATTGATACATTCATCCTTCCTTCTGCCATTATATGCTTTCTGTTTTTATAGTTCCTTAATGCTTCCTTCTTTCCTTAGTTTTTGATAAGTAGCCCATTTTTGTCCTTTGTCTAGTGTTTTGAAAAGGATTATTCTACTGATGGTTGCTCTTAAATGCATATATTCTCTATTTCTCTTCTAATCTCAAGCATAGAAAGTGAGCTCCATAGGCAAGGTCTTCTGTATTCTATCACTGAAGCTAACACAGCAGTAGGAATATTAAAATATATTTGTTCTATGAGTAAATAAGTTAATAGTAGATATTGACTACATGATCACAATTCTGCTCTGGAACCAAAGATGGACTCTGGAGGGGGAAATAGAAACTAGAAAATGAACGCAGAGAACAGTGGGAAAAGAGACAACAGAAGACATTGCTTCTATCCCAATCCTGATACTAACTTTGTGATTTTGAAAAATGTATTCATCCTCTTTGCACCTCTATTTTTTTCATTTGAAAAATAAGGGAAATGGATTAGAACAGTGATTCATTACTTTTTTTCTAGCATTATGAAAGTTTTATTTGGAAATGAACTTTTAACTATGAAAACAAATGTCAAAATATTTCTCATAACATCATCCACAGAAACTCTCTTAATCTTAAAAATTTTTTTCACAAACATTTCTTGTATAATGCAGCATACAACAAAGAAATGGTATATCTTTTTTCAATTTTAATACAATGGAAAAACTATATATATTACAAATTTTAACTAATAAACACTAGGCAGGCTAACAGTTTAAGTCTATAAGTGAGAAATTTCCTAATAACAAATAATCAGAATATTTTTAGCATCAGTCGCTTCCATAGCAAACTATTACTCTGATCAATAAAGCTTGCTATCATCAGGCTTCTGGTATAACGTATACCATTACTTAATTTTTAGTACTGTTTCCCACCTTGGTTTTTCACAGTTACTAACATATAAAACTGTTGCAAAGTAGGGGCAAGAATTTGCAAAAACAAACAAACAGAATCCCCAGCTTATTATAAGCATGGATTTCTATGATGGAAATTTTTTCTAAGCAATGGACTTTCAAAGCATCAAATCACCAAAACTGAATTTGCCAAGATATTTTTGCCTAAGTCAAGAAAGAGAGGCATTTATTTATTCCAACAGAGGAGCTGAAATTCAAGCTCATTGTTTAGTTTAGAGGTAGGTGGGGAAATTCAGCAGTGTGAAAAATGACCACTAAAAATAGGTTCACTAAATTTATTTTTTAAATCATAAAACATGTCTTGCAAAAGAGCATTACGTTCTTCAAGAACAGATACCAAGAACATGTGGACATGTTCTGAACGGATACCAAGAACATGTGGACTATTATTACTTTTTCTCCCTGTCCCAACCCCCTAAAATGTTACAGTGACCACAAAGTGTTCATAATAATTACATGGGGGTGGGTGGGATTTTCCTTTTTAACCATCAACAGTGAACAAAACGTAAAATTCACTCACTCTGCTGTTGTTTCAAAATTTCAGTGTTAGCTTTTATACATCGTCTTCCCCACCCTGTTTGTAAGGAACCAAAACATTACATTGGGAAACAGCAAAGATTTCATTACACCTCAAATGCAGAACACCTATGAAGCAGAAAAATGCTGGCTTTTTAAATAGAAGCAGATAAGATTTTTGCCTCTTTAAGCGTCACAGGTCTTTTTGAGAAAACTATAAAGGCTATACAGATCTACTCCACAAAAGCATTATCTATTATGCACATATTATAAAAATAAGTTGACATGTTTTAAAAGATCACAAAAACTTTTGATGTGTATATTGTTAACTACATGAAAACATCAATAAAATATAATTTTTAAAGGTAATTAGATAATTCACACACACACATAAAATTTTCTCCATACTTGTAATAAAGAGAGCCCCAAACCCCCAACATAGAAGAAAAACATCCAAAGAAATAAATAAAAGATTAATAGTTGTCATGAAAGTTTTTGAAATATTAAAGTCCAGTATCTTAAGTCCTCATAACATATTTACTTTAGATAGGGATGAAGTTGTTTAAGCTTAGCTTTTCTTGACAAACCAACTCTGATCGGTCGACTGCATGTCTTCAGAGGTAGTACTCTTGAAATTCCATGTGAAAAATTACTACCTAAAAATAGAAGACAATAAAAGTATTTAAGGCATAAAAATTACTCATAGTTTCTAAGCTTAACATTTTTTTGATAACTTTTAATCATACTAGCAACATTTACTGAGTCACTGAGCTAAGTGCTTTAAATGAGTTAGTTTACTTAATCCTACCTCCATTTTTAAAATGTGGAAACCTCAGCACAAAAGTAACTTGGCCAATATAAAATACAAACTAAATAAAGTCATCATTCCAGTCTGTCTCACTTAACAAAAAAAACCTATATAGATTTTAATTTTTTAATTGATTTTAGAGAGAGGGAGGGAGGAGAAAGAGATTTGTTGTTCCATTTATTGATGCAATCATTGGTTGATTCTTGCATGTGCTCTGACTGGGGATTGAACCTGCAACATTGGTATATTAGGATGATGCTCCAATAAACTGAGCTACTCTGCCAGGAAACATACATAGATTTTTAAGTTAACTTGATATAGTGGCTTAAAACACCATGTTATTTTTTTATTGGAAGTTAAACAACTAAGCTATACTGTTAATGATTATGTTTGGCTTCTAATAGAGATTATTATCAATAATAGAGCACAAATGTCATTTTCAAAACAACTCAAAACATTTCATGAAGATTTATCTGTTACTAAATCAGTTAACCAGACAAATAGGATCAACTACCATTGATAATAAAATACAACAATACCTCTAATTTTCAAGGTGCTTTATTTTAAGAATAAACAATAAGGTACAGATTTAAAGCTAAAAATGTATCAAGCTTTCATTTAGTTTTAATGAATTATTAGTATGACCTTACTATAAAAAGCACATTATATACTAAAAATACTGCAATCAACATAACTTTAAATCTGACAAAAGGTAAACAGCATACTCTCTACCAAGTTTAACTAAATAGAATATGTATCTATGTAAATAATAATAAAGTGAAATGCAAAATTTAACTCTGTAAATAGGGAAGAAACAGCCTAACAGAAAGAAGTATAAATCAGTTTATGACACTTTAGTCATTAAAATTATAATTACTTACAAAAATTAAGAAAAATTATCACTATTTTTATATTATTTAAGCAAAAAAGGATAGTCCAAATAAACCAAAGTTGTGCCATCATAGCTGATACACTAGATTTGGTTATAAATTAATATCAGCAACTTATTCTAAATGTACCTCTTCATTATGAGACTTTTATTTCAAAATAAAGCCATGATTTGTCTTTTTGATTACTTTTTCAAAATACAGCTTTCCTTTTTCATACTCCAATATGACAGTTAGTTCTCATAATTTTACAATGGTGGTAAATCACTAAACCAGTTTCTATCAATAGTAGGGCCTGTACAAAGTATTTGCCCTTAACCAGCCATTCAGTTGTGGTTCTGAGAGTGTGCTTTTTCGTCACCCTGGAATAAATTATGATCCCTTTTATTATTGCTATACACTGGATTAATGTATTGCTTTGTATTATTTAACAACTCTAAATATTCAAACATACTACCAGAAATTGGTCATTTTAAAAATCAATGTTTAAAAAATGTTATGAAATTTATTAGTTGTCTTTTAGAAATAACACTAACTCAATTGTTTTCTAAATCCTGGCAACTCAAAGTGTAGTCCACAGACCAGCATCACCTACATTTGCTAGGAGCTTGTTGGGGATGCAGAATCATAGGGCCTACCCCACAACAGAATCAGAACCCTTTAGTAAAATGCCCAGGTCATTCGTATATACTTTAAAGTTAGGGGAGAGCTGATGCTAAATGATATAAATGCACTTCGCACACTGGTTGGCTGGCTTATAACACCTGCTCAAAATAATTCCAAAACACTTGCCTTCTCCGCAGAGAAAGGAGAGAGACACAAAGAGTGACAGGATGCTACTGGAGACATAAGTGGTTAGAAACTTTCATTGGAGGCATCGTAATGACAAGCGGTAAGTATCAAAAACGTGTCAGCGCAATCAGGAGTTTCCCAATGCCTTTAAATTCACACTGCATAAACACGTCTTCCCCCACTTCCCAGTGTCTCTCCAGTCTTCCTTCGCACTATGGGGTTTTAACAAGCCTCAGGAAGATTATCCTATTTCTGTGCACTTCCAAAGTAAGTCCAAGAAACTATGCTAACATAACACTAAATAGTTCTGACCGACTTCACACACATTATTTTTCATATTTTATAATAACGAGGCACTTTTCCTTGTGAAGAGGCAATACAGTATTATGGGTTCAAATATTCCCAACAAATGTAACATTTCTTTTCCAATTTGAGCACATAATCTAATCTTCCTCATTCATTCATTTCATTATCACAATTATAGTCATGATGACAAATGTGGGTGTATGTTTCATTCTATCTCAATATTAACCCAAGTTCTCCCTTTCTTTCTGAGCTAGAAGGAACAGCTCCTATCCTTTCCAGTCTAACTCTGCCACACTTCTTTTCCTTCTTTTCTCAGAAGGAAGGCCACAAGGAATGTTTCCGCGGTCTGTGCCACACTTCTTTTAGTCTCATAAAGTATTGTTCCCTCAATTATTCCTTTTATTCAGGGCAGAAGGAACTACCTGTGGGCTTTTGATCTTCCAGGACTTGGATTAAGTTTTAAGATTATTTTATCGTAAGCTGAGAAAAAAGAGGACAAGATGCATTTCTGAAGTGACTGACTAAAGGTACCAGGGACAGCATTCTACTGATGAGAAGCCAGGAAAATGTTTTAAGAAATGATGAATGCATGAAGATGTTGTGGTAAATATAGTTCACCTACATCATTATTGTTTTTAGATCTGGTCTTATTGTGTAATACCAGCAGTTTCTAACCAAATGAAAATTTAGTCATGTAGAAAACAATTCCCTAATGTCAATCCTACCTCTGTCTCATCCCATTGGTACTATTATAAGTTAGAATAGATGTTAGACTTGCTGTGTTTTATTCTGATATTGTAGAGCTCTTAGGCAAATAATGAAGTTGTTTAACTTCCATTACTTTTATTTGTATAATAGTAATCAAAATTTTAAACTCCATAGTCATAAATCTTGTTAATATATCTACAATGATACTAAATTGTTTAATTACTAAAGAAAATGTCCATATAAAGAGCTTCATAGCAGTTAAAGGATAGTCTATATGAAGAGCCTCATAATAGTTAAAGGATAGAGAACGTTGATGATAATTATATAACTGGGAGTAACGTCATCAATAGAAACCCAACTTAAATAAACACCTTTTTTGGTTTTGTTAATTAATGTTGCATCTATTAGGTGTGTACACTAGACATGTGTAACACCTATCTTATTACATAGTTACTGCAGTGCATCCCTGCAAATATTTAAACACATTTAAAGAGCCCATTTCCCAATAATATTCTAAATCTAATATTCTGAAATAGCATTTTAGTTTTGAGGTAGTTTTTAACTATTAGAATTTCCTTCAGTAAGTTATTAATGTTTACAAAAGTATAAATCTTTGTATTTATTTTCTAAGAACCTAAGTATATTTTCCTCTTGCTAAGAATACAAGAATAAAGTAATCATCTTAGAAGGTATTTTAGAAAATAATAAAAAATCTTACCTCCTTTCATGAAATAATTAATTTTTTCTTCCTTAAATTCATCAGAGAAAATAGCAGGTCTTTTAGTTGAAGGTTCTTCACAATCTGAAAATAAAGATCAATATGTTATAGCAAAAAGTAACTTTTATATAAAATGTTAATAAGAAATTACTTTTTCAAAAATATTCTTCCCATTGGCTCCTAATATTTAGGTAAATGAAGCAGGATGCTTCAAAGCTCCTTTTAGAATTTTTATCACTTGTTTTCTTCAACTTCATTATATTATTTAATGTTTGAACACTTGTTTATAGAAAATATTGTACATTAGTAAACATTGTCTATACTTTATTTCCTTTTTGCCAACATTATATATTTGGCCTACACAGAAAAGAAAAGCAGCAATTTTTTTCTAGCATAAGAAAAAACTAATTTTAAAACTAATTTTATACCTTTCTCAGAAGTAGAATAGAGTAATTTCTCCTCTGATGTTCCTAAACAGCAATATTTATTAGGAACTTCCTGTTTTCTGTTTCTGGGTACTGTTTCCCATTTAAATAAACGTTGGTGTCTTTTACGCATATTAGGACCTGCTGTAGTATCACAGATCAAAGAAGATGCACATATTTTGTTGACTGTACTCATTTCCAAATCCTTTTTTATTTCTGTTTCTACCGCTTTGAAGATGTTGACATCATTGTTTTCTCTAAAATAATTTTCTTGCGCATTATTTGTTTCTGCAGTGCTTAGAATTTCATTTTCTTTACTGATCTTGTGGAACATACGAAGTTCTTCAAGTACTAAATCAAATTTACTTTTCATCTCAAAGTTTTTGCCTACTGTCATAGTTTCTGTTGTTGATAAACACTTGGCAGTTAAGTCCTGAAAACATTCATTGTTCCTTACACTCAGATCAGTTTCAAATTGATGTCTAACACATCCTGTCTCAGAGACATTCCTTGGATGAGAATGATTTGAATTAGCTAACTCCCTTTCTTGCAAAACATTCTTACATTCATTTCTGTCAACTAGATCATTTTGATTAACATATTTAGTTTCTTCCACATTTACTTTCTTATTTATTGCAGAAACTGGTCGCATAGAAAACATGTCGTCCATTGGATAAAAAATATTTTTCTCTTTTTTTTCAATCTTAGTATCTTTATGAACTTGACAATTATGTGTTAAACTTTGTGTGGTGTCTTTTTCTTCCTCTTTCAAAATTACATCATGTTCTTTTGCCTCAATTTCACTTCTTAGCAAGCTCCAAAAATTTTGCATGTGAGTTATAATCGTGGGATTGGTTTGTTCAGTATGTTTTGTGGAGTGGCTTGTCAGTATGGCTTGTGGCCTAACATTGAAGAAATCTTCAAATATGGACCTCAAATTAAAGCTACTGATCTTATTATGCTCTTGTTTTCTTTCAGTATCTAAATCTTGGTTGTACATATTTAGCTCATAAATTTTTTTATTAATATGTTCATGGTTGTTTTGTATGAAATGAGGAAGGGACTTAACATGTGTTTTCACAGTATTAGTACTACAGTGAACCCAAGTTTTCACATTCATAATTTGTTCAGAACAAGTCTTACTCTTGTAACCAATTTTTTTTGTCAAATAAATTGCATCCATGTCATCAAAGTCCATTAAAACTAAATTTTTGGCTATCACACTAAAGGAATTGATGGGGTTTTTCTTAGACACTTCGAAAAGTTGCTCAGTTTTAAATAACTTTATTTTCTCTAACATAGGTTTTGTATTATTTCCTGATGGTCTTAAAAAAGTTAAAGTCCTTCCTAGGTATACAATATGATTTTCCACTATAATATTTTTTGGATAGTTCAAACACATTATCCAATTGAAAATGCATCTCTCTTCTAATTTAGAATCATTTTCAGTTCCAGTTAAAGAGTCAAAGTTATTGAGCAGAGAAGCTATGTTGGTTTTCAATATGCTATGTAGAGGTTTTGAAACAGTGGTTTGTAAATATATGCATAAAATATTATTCTTTCTATTGACATTTATATTCCTAATTATTAGATATGGAACACCATCAGTTTGCTTTAGACACTTCAAAACTTTATGCCAAGCTAAAATACTATTATCTTCTTCATTTTCTGAAATACTTTTATGGAAATAAAAACTTTCTGTAATGAAATTCTCAAAAGTATTGCTTAAATAACGGTCTTTTTGTGTAGTATAATACTGCCACTGTAGTACATTATTGTTTTCTCCTTTACCATTTAACCAAAAAAAATTTATTAAAGCTTTTTGGCTACTCAGTGTTCCTATCATGAGAAGCTTTGGTTGTTCTTCATGTGTAGTCATGGCTTTTGTATTATAATAAACTTCTTTGCTTAAAACACCTATTTCTGATAATTGTAGCAAATTCAATTTTTCTCCAGTTCTTTTCATATTTTCACATTTAGTTTTGTAATTATGCATAATCTGACTGTTTTCCCTATTTTTTCTCAAAATATGTCTGATAGGGTAGTCCCAGCTTTGAGATTTTTCTAATCTGGTAGGCATGTAACTGTCGGGACATGTTTCTGCTTCCTCCCGATTTGCAGTTTGTAGTTTTATAGTAAAACTTTTGTCGGGGTCTCTTACATCAGACTTGATACTACTGTGCTTACAGTAGAGTAAACTGGTCAAGTGTCTTCCCCTCACACAAATATTTTGCTTACTGAGTGACTGGTGGTTACTTTCATAACCCTCCGAAAAAATATTTTCTGCATCCGCAATTTTTTTATCACTCAGTACGTTTTGCTTCTTAACATTCACTCTATTTTGGGAGCAGTTAATGTTTGTGAAATCCCCAACATATGTCTCATATTTGTCATTCTTCTTCTTTGCTAATTTCTTTAAATAGACAGGGGACATTTTGCTCTTTAAATCGGCTGGAGACTCAGGGATACCTATTGTGCTGCTATCTCTAAAATAGCTGGGTTTGGCAATTTTCAGGCCGGGCTGGTTGTGAGATTTTGATATTTTTAGCCTAGATGCTGAAATGTTATTTTCTTTTTTATTTGATGGCGTAGCACCGTCAGCTTTGTATCTGCTCTTAATTCCCTGAAATGTTGGTTTAGTCTCCTCGTAAAAGGTAACGTCCAACCGTAGATTTCCTGTCTGTTTTCGGCAACTGTTGTCTTTCTGACTACTGTCTATTCCTTGAACTCTATATTGTTTTCCGTCCTCGTTTTTAACTCCTCGCATGTCGCCCATGGAGACGGTGGGCAGAGGCTGGCGGACCACAGCTTGGGATCTGTCACTGCGGGGCACACCGAAAGCCTCCGTGTCACACAGCCCTGGTTCAGAGGACCTTCCGGAAGCCTTCAAACCGGAATCCCATTTTTGTGAGGGGGCAGACTTCAAACCACTTTTCATCTCGAATTTGCCCCCTTGGCCCCCCAGACTGCTCAGCTGCTTGCCACTGGCTGATTCCTCCACACACAAGTCTGTGGAGTCGTCGAAAATCACGTCGGCTGCGACGAGCAGCAGCTTGCAGGGCCTGGACGGCAGGTCCCACTTTTTTTCCACCTCAGACAAGCGAGGCACCAAAGGCAGTCGCCACCCCGCCTCAGAGACCCTGCCAGGCTCCTCGAGACGGAGCCGCTTAGGACACGGGGGCTGGGAATCGGGATCTTCAGGAGGAGGGGAAGGTGAGGCGGGCTCCCTGAGCTCCGCAACCGCGGGCGTGAGGCGCGTGAGCGACATGACAGAGAACTGAGGGTATCTGTCCCTAGTGTTCGCCAGGTTCTAGCGGTATTCTGGAGGGCGCAGAGAAACTCCTCCTCTTTCCAGGGCTACCCCGCCCACGCCCCGGACACGCCCCTCAAGGCCCGGCCTCAGCCTCAACTATATAGTCAGCCCAGACGGCCACGCCCCCTCCCCCGCCCCACTTTAGCCCCGCCTCTGCCCAGACCACGCCCCCCCACCCCAGCCGGTTGAGATCCAGGCTGTCTCCCTCAAAGCACTGAGCCAGGGCAGCCGGCCGTTACAATGTTTATTTTTAGCGCCTTCTGCTAATGCCAGGACTGAGGCTGGTCTAAATATTTTCTCCCCTCTGTCAGAATGAAGAAGAAAAGTCAGAATCTCTATCATTTTTCTAATTTGTGAAGGAAAACGGCTTTATTTTTAAAATCCTGAAATTCTTCATATCGCTTCATAGATTATGCAAATATGGAACCGCTATGCTGTACAGCTGAAACTAGTATAAAACGCGAGCATGCCAACTGTCATTGAAAAGACTTTTAAGTTAAATTAAGAAAAAAGTGAAAAAAATTCTGAGATTCTATGTTTTCCTCAGACGCGGCTTCCATACAGCCGCTACCCGCGCCCTGTCCAGTAACATCTTCCAGTCGCGTGAGCACCAGACCAGGTCTCTCCGTGTCTGGAAAAACCTTTTTAAACGCTGTGAATCGTCTCAGTGGCCCTGAAAATCAGATTTCCACTTTACCAATAACGTGTGTTTCGGGGGGAAGAAGGCACTGGTCCTTAACATCCTTCCCTGAAACAGTATTCCAGGAGAGAGTGTGTGAGAATTGTGATCCAGAAGATCATTCATCTTCCCTGTCAACCCGTAGAAAAGCAGGTTTCCTATCTGCTGCGGGGCTTCTTTCTCTGCTATTGCGGATGAAATCACTTAGAGATAAAATGACGTGCGTCCACTGTGCCATTTCTCGGAAGCGTAAATAATAACATACTTCTGCCCCACACCAAATAAGTGTTGTGAACGTTATTTTTCTTTTCCTTCAATAATTTCCTCAAGTAATGTATTAATAACTTCGGTCCATTCTGATTTCCGTCAGCCCCATAGTCCTGAAGTGGTTATCAAACATGTTTGTCATCGTAGTACACATGTTTGTTAAGAGACACGTCGTTACCACTCAGTAATCCAAAGCCTCAGCCCCCCGGACGGGTGTCGTCTCAAAGTTGGCTCGTTTTTCGCCCCCGGGTGAACAGGAGTAGGAGCCACGCCACTGTGCGACAGGAACCACAGCGTCAGAACTCCAGGGGGCGCGCGCGGGGCAGGACGGAGCGGCCACGCTGCCTCAGGCGGCGCGAGGCGACCGGCCTCCCGCCTGGTCAACGCCCTAAGATGCAACGAGACTCCAACTCGGGGCATCTGCTGTCCCTTCAGCTTTTCAAACGTCTTCGGAGAAAGGGGCGCTTGCGCTGGTGGGAAGCCTCGCAGTACCAGGGCTCCATCAGCACCGAACATACGAAGGTGGCGGTGGGTCAGGTGACCCGTTGGCGAGTTCTCAAAGCGCTGCTTCTACAGATCTTAAATCCCATCTTTTTTTTTAATAGAATTTTATTTATTTATTTTTAGAGAGAGAAGGGAGAGAGAGAGAGAGAGAGAGAGAGAGAAACATCCATGTGCAGTTGCTGGGGGCCGTGGCCTGCAACCCAGGCATGTGCCCTGACTGGGAATCGAACCTGCGATGCTTCGGTTCGCAGCCCGCGCTGGAGCCACTGAGCGCCGCCAGCCAGGGCTAAATCCCATCGCTGTTTTTTAAATCTCCGATTCCCCCCCAGTTGTGCATTGCATCCGAGTGCAGTCTGCGCTCTGCGTGTGAGCAGCCCGGGAGGGAGGACTTGCCGCAGCCATGCAGCCAAGGCGGGGGCAGTTGGCGCCCTGGCTCGGTATTAGCCACCAGCTTTCCGTCCGCCCCGGGAACGCTGTAGCTTTGTGAGTCCGGAGTGACTTGTCACTTGGCGTGTGAGTGTTCGGCTGCAGAGTCCTTCCGAGTTCACCTCCAGGCGGACCTTTTCGGCTTCTGTGTCCGTTTCCACCGCACGGCGTGCTCTCCCCGCAGCACGGAAGTCCCCCCCACTCCTTAAATACATACAAAGTCCTTTCAGAATTGCGGTGTTCGGTCCAGGCGGGCTCAGCCGACTCAAGGAGGCCGAGGAAGCGGGGGGAGGGCTCCAGCGCTGGGCCGAGAGGTGGATGTGAAGACGAACTAACCGAAGGCGTCATTGGTCCCAGGGGTCTGGCTACCAGGAACAGCTCGCCTGTTAGGATGAAAAGCAAGCGGGGTCTGGCAGAAACTAAGCGATATTTTTTAAAAACTAAATCTAAACAGAGATGATGTTACAGTAACTACCTTACAATACCTATCCTGAAAGTAACAGATGCCCCAGAACTTCTCTAATTGTCAAGACCTGGTTCGGTGCATCCTTTGCACCTGAATTCGGCGCGTTCTCTACATTAGTGGATCTTACGATCCACCAGCAGGAGAACTGGTGTTGACAAACAGGCGTGACCAATGCCATGGCCCCCTTGGACAGTTTTTTGAAGGGGTCTTGCAGAAAGAGAGCCAAGAACACAGAAAGTGGAGAAGGAAGGCAGCAGTGGGGCCCAAGGAGAGGCCGTTAGCTGCTTGTCCCTTGCAATGCTTTCTCACACGATTCTACTGAAGAACAATCTTTTTCCTAACTTTTAAACGTTTCTCACAAACTATGCCTCATGAGGAAAAATGTAGGATGAACACACATGTATAGTTTTATAATATAATCTGACACATAGTCATTATACACATGTCATTATCTGTTGTTTTGCCTGGTACTTGATCATGAATAGAAAGGAAAGGAAGTTACAACATGTCACATACTTTGCAACTTTGCCCCGGGCCTATCAAGCTAATCACCCACTTACTAGAGTTTCACATCAGCTTCCAAAACTTAAACCCAGATCTCTGGAGACCACTCCGAATACAGAGGTGACTTTCCCAAAAGTTATCTAGTGCAGAACTTGGACAACAACCTGAATAAAAACAGATACAGAACATGGGCTGCTTGGTTACAGTTACAATGCCATCTATAATAAAATACTGAAATAAGGCAGGGGGCAGGGCTTGGAATATAATGTGTAGTTAAGCAGGGACAGAACCACAGGAAGCATGGTTGAGCCAAAGATCCTTTCTCTTACGTGAAAAACTAAAAGAGAACAAGGAGGAGGAGAGGCAGAAGCACTGTGACTGTGCATTTCAAAGCTGTGTGAATTAGAATATTTAAAAAATGTGTCTTCTTCAATATAAAAATAATAAATCAAAATATTAGAAATAGAATTTTAGTTTAATATGCTCTGTAACCATCCAACTTTTGTAATATAAAAAAAACTGTAAAAGGGCACAGAGCTTTTCTTGTTTTTTTTTCTTATAAAATCTCTGATAGGTAGAAAAAACACACAAAATAACTTATTTCAGTTCAAACAATATTTAGTGTGGACTATATTGTGATCAACATTGTACTGGGTGCCACACTCTTTTGATGCACAGGCTTTGCAGTAAGGAGCACTTAAATAGATATGTGTCTCTCTGTTGAACAGGAATGGAAAGGAATAAAACAATAAGAATGATATTTTTAAATTTTTTAATTAAATTTATTGGGTGTCCTTGGTTAATAAAATTATATAGGTTTCAGGTGTACAATTCTATAATACATCATCTGTATACAGGTATTGTACTGTGTGTTTACCACCCCAAGTCAAATCTCATTCCATCACCATTTATCCCCACCTTACCCTCTTCTACCTCTTCCAAACCCCCTTTCCAGGATTCGGAAAATAGATATTCTATTGATAAAGGTGGGGTAGTGGAAAAGTTGGACTCGTTTGAGAATATATTATAAAAATAAAGGTGAGAAGATTGTATGTAGATATATTGCATTCAAGAAATTGCTAGGCTTTTTATGGCACTAGACTGTGAGCTGAAAAAACTAAAATGAAGCTGAACAGTGGGTAAGGACTATAAATAGATTTTATCTTAGCATGTGTATTAAAATGAATTGGTATGTTTGTGAAGGACAGAAATATCAGAACTGCATACTCCCAGCAACTTTTTGTTGCTGTTATTGATGTCCTAAATATACATGGTATGAGCAAAAGGATATAATTTATATTCTGTGCTACTTATATTACTATCACACGACACCTATCAATTCTGTGTGGGCATAGAAACCTCTTAATTCTCAGTGAAATCAAACTTCATCTCTTCTTATTAGCATGGTTGGCTTGGCTTTAAAAAATGATTTCAATGTGTGATTACTGTTTTCATATAGTCTGATTTGCAGACTATTGCAAGCTGGCAGATTTTTTTGTGGGAGTTGTATATCATCACCAAAATGCTTTTAAGTGGTAACTCCTTGAAGATATTTCATTCATTGCTTAATGTAGTAAGTTTTTATTTTCTGATCTCAGAATTAATTTCACAAAAAATTAGTTTGAGTTAGTGGGTTTCACTGCTACATGAATATAGACAGTCACTCTCAAAGTAAGAAAATGTTTGACTTTGTCTTAGAAAATATAAAAGGAAAAAACTATTTAAACTTTTATAAAGGCCTTAGAAAGCTGTGGTCAGGTCCAGGATAGCTACAAAATGAACAGCTAGAGAAAAAGTAAAAATGAAGTCTAGTACAACCTTCCTTTGTCAGTAGTAAAAAAAAAAAAGACAACTAAATAAAGAAATAAATAATATAAGCATATTTCTTGGCTTGCAAATGATTACACTGGTTGCCAAAAGAAGGTTCAGTTCCAGTGTCTAATGCCAATTGTAAAAACTTTTGCCATCAAATAAACCTAGAAATCCTTCTGTCCAGTCTAATTTCCTCTTTCATTCATAAATCCAGTCACATGATCTTCATGAAAATTAACCCAAACACTAAGTCTCTTCTTTGTTTTATAATATACTCCTCCACATCCGGTACAACCT